CACCTTTTCTGAGTCACATCTTTGCGCTTAGCTGGGATTTGGCCAGAGGCCACACCTGGAAACCTATGCTGAGGAACATGCAAAGATACCAACCCAGCAAGCATGCTTTAGCAGGGTCTACATTTGCTCTGGCACCCTTGTAGCCTGTCAGATGATTATGATTTATTCTCTAGTCAGGTACCCAGTTGTTTACCTTCATCATTTTGTAGGGACCCAGGTTGGGATGGCTGTTTCTACAAGGTAACGTGTGAGATCCTGACACTTCTCTGGAAGGGTGTCTTGTCGGGAGGCAAGGCTGTGCTGCTCTCATGCCAGGAATGATGAGATATCCCTCACATGGTGTCAGTGCTTGACTGGACATGGGAGTCAGATTGTCACATGCCATATCTGTCTCTGTGTGCCATGGTGGCCTGCATGGCCCAGTCCTGTATGGTCTGCACCAAGCCATGTCACTACCTCCTGAGGCTCAGAAGGAGACATGGAAATACTGCACATTGCCTTGCTGCAGTAACCATGCTGCCAAGAGGAACCCATTGCACTGAGGGGAACAAAAGCCTTGAGATTGGCTGGAAGGGATGTGAGAGAGATATGTGCTAGGTTAGACCAGTGCCTTGTCTTTATGCTTTGAAGTATACATGGTCTGGAACAGGTCCACATGAAATAACTCACAAACACTCCATTTTGTGAGGTGCAAAGACCCCAGTGACACGCTCTTTCACATCAAGCCTCCAGCATGGAGGCCTAAAGGTAGTAGACAAGTAGAAATGCCATGCGAAGAGTCAAACCCAACTTAGGCCAAAGTCATGGACCTGGGCATGTTCAAGCCATATTGTAATGAAACACAATCCCATCAGTCCTGCCAAGACTGGTAGTAGAAAGCTCTCTGAGAAAGGAGCGTGAAGTAGCCTCAGGATGGGTGGAAGGAGAGGGAGGGCTAGTTGAGGAGCTGGATGAGCTAAGCAAGCCGGGTGAGGTGGTGAATCAATGCGTCATTCCTTGTGCAACCACAAGGCAACTCCCCAAGAGGTTGCCCTTCCCAGGAGAAGCGTGTGTCTGGTGGGGGTGAATCCCTTCTCAGGACCCAGCAGATGAATCAGTGTTGACTCAGGTCTTTGTAGTCCTCCCTGCTCAAGTGATACTGGGTAAAGAAGGGAAAAGATGAAGCCTGTTTGTATTTCTTCTATGCGACTCCCACTCTTGCTATAAACTGTAATCACTGCATAGGAGCATTTTTTTCTTTTATTTTTATTTCTTTTTTTTTTTTTTTTTTGATAAACTTGACTGCTGGGTGCACACATTAAGCTATAAATATAGTCTTTCATAGGCGGAAAAAAAAAAACAACCTCGTTTATAAGTGTCCCATTAAGCAAAAACATGTTTCATTCTTTGTGGGGAGACCATTCTCCTGCCCACATGTTGAGGTATCTTGGAAGCAGTATGTAGCTCTTTGAGGACCAATTATTAATTTGAATTTATTGAGTGCTGACAGATGTGCTTGGTGCTTTATGGTCACATAAGGGAACCCTTGTGGCTGCACTATTTCAAGAGAAAACTCCCATGAAAAGGTGGAAACCCTTTTGGTTTAAGGAAACTGAAAGACGCTGTTCTGATTTTTGAAACACTGTCCTCGGCAGCGCTCCACTGCATTGACCAGCTTACGGGCCAAATTGTCTCCTTAGCAAAGTGTTAATAAACACTGACAGAAGTAAACAGGGAACCTCTCCTCTGCAACCAACCAGGTAACATTTGCTACACTGATTCTGTCTGCTTCAACTATGTCTGAGGGACACAAAGCTGCTGGGTGCTAAGAAATCAAACTCAGTTTGTTTTCATCTGTGTAACTGTGAGAAGAGTTTAGCTTCTCATTCTGAAACCAGTTTGTGAGTTGCAGGGGTTTTATTGATCTGTATTGTCTTCTCCCATCATTCTTTCCTGCCAAAGCAAATGGCATCTCCCGTGAGTCTGTGGTTTCAAGGATGGTGTCATAATAGAGAAGAAAAATATGACCAAATTATTTTATTTTTAATGATACTTCTAATGCTCTTTTTCAGCAGTGAAGAGCAGCAATTCAGCTAATGGAGAGACACGTGAGTATAAAATTCAGAGTCTGGCTGGGGTTGACTCTAGAGAAATGAAGCAAAGGAGGCATAAGTAAATTCTACAGGCTCACACAACATAGCTGGGGGTATTTTTCTTCTTTAAGACAAAACTGGATGCTCTACAAAAGTAGAGGTATAGTCCTGGGGCTTCCAGGCTGTCTGTTCATGCAATTTTTCTGGTAGCTTCACAAAATAAAATCTTGCCTAACTCTTTGCCTCATGACCACAACCTTGAGAACATTGACAATACTTAAATTGTTGTAAAGGCAAAGAACAAACAGGCATACTCCCTTCTTGCTGCTGCTGGAGGGAGAGGTGAGACCCTAGAGGCTCTCACACACTTAGGCTCTTTAAAACCAGTGAGTCAGTGACACGTAGTACGGAGTCCGGGAAACCATCCCGCTAACCTTTTCCAAGTCCTTAAACTTTTGATGTGTGATGGTGAAGGTGATAATGATTAAAAGAAGAATCTGTTATGTATGGGGAGGTGAAATGGCAAAACACTGTTGTTTTTTCTTTCCCCTCCCACAGGTTAGATTATGCTATATAGAAAGAATTTACCCAAAGGCAGATAATGCTTAAACCATTTAGAAATAATTAATAGACATTAGAGTCACTGCATACTACAGAAAACTGTGTCCTGAAAGGTTAGACAATAACTTTCTTTGTTAGAGTAAAAGATGTTTGTTTAGGCCCAGCTGGAGCTTCCGACTGCCTAATTACCCCGAGATGAAGTAGCTGTGCTCTTAAGGAAGTCAAAAATGCACTCCAATGAGTGCTGGGCAACACAGGCCACCAGGTTTCCACAAAACGTCATGTAGATATGTTGTTAAATTAATTTTGCAGGTGGAGGCTGCTCTTAAACTTCTGCATTTTCTAAAAGGCTAAAATAGGTTTGCAATATATCTGCAGAATTGCTTTCTTCCCTTTTGCAATGTAGTACATTAAAAAAGCACCTTAGAGACTGCCAATGTCTCTGCTCAGGATCCATGAGGACTGTCCTCCTAGCCATGGCTGGGACCCCCTTGTCACTCATGGGTGACCACCATCCTTCTTTGGGACCATGGGGATGGCAGGAAAGATTGAATGACTTCCAAGAGCCAAGTGCTTGGCCAGCTTTGTAAACTTGAAAGTCCTATCTCTTTGGCCATGTTTCATGCTCGTTTTGTCTCTCCCTTCTCCCAGTGGAAGGCAGAAGAATGAAGAATAGAAAAATGGAAGAAGGAAGAATGGAAGAAAGCTGGCAGTGCTCACACCCCAGTGTAGCTGGCAGAAAGTGAAGCTAAACCAGCCCCAGCTCCTCTGCTTGTTAAACACAAGGGAGGAAGGCGATTATCTGCTCCCAGTGTTTTGCAGAAGAAGTGGTTGGGAAGCATCCCTTCTCCAAGACCCTTTTTGATGGTGCCACTTCCCAGCTCGCACTCCTCAGTTCATCTCTAGCACACAAGTCCCAGCTCAGCTTGAGGTGGGAACAGTTTGCCCTGCTGAGTGGGGATGTAAATGGGGGCTTAGACATTCAGGAACTGCAAGCCAGCTCTCTGGATTTGCTCCTGATGTTTGCCAAATGCTTTCTATTCACTGGAATATGATGAAAAACATTTCTGTGAGTTTGTGGCTGTCTAGTTCCTAGCAAGCCGTTAATACAAGGGATGAAGGGGAAACCCAAACCCCCAAACCAAAAATCTGGACAACTTACAAACCTTCTCTATAGCTTAAATAGAGGCTTGGTCTAATACTCCTAATTGGCTGGAGCAGCCCTTACAATTTCCCAGACGGTTACTTAAGTACATGTAACCACTGTAACTGCTATGCCTGTTATTGTGCTGCTTTCCTTTCCTGCTGACTGACACGGAGCAATGAAACTACCCAGGTCTGACATTACAAACCAAGACATTGAAGCCAAGGTATGAATGTAAAAAGGCAATAAATACCCTGCTAATCTCTCCAGCAACACAGAAGCAATAGCAGGAACTATTTGCTCCAGAAAAAAATCTAGCTGGTGTTTATTAATTTTGTTTTTTTATTCTTGGAGTTCAAGTTGTTCCAGTTTTTAAATATATACATACATTTGTGTCCAAAGGGTTTGTACTGCTATAGTTGAAACCTAGCTTTTTCCTTCAACCCCGGGTCTGCTATTGCAGTTACTCCAACATGTCACTATGCCACTTACTTAACACCTTCCTGCGACTGAAGTCTCCTTCCCCTTCCCCTTCCCTTCCCTTCCCCTTCCCCTTCCCCTTCCCCTTCCCCTTCCCCTTCCCCTTCCCCTTCCCCTTCCCCTTCCCCTTCCCCTTCCCCTTCCCCTTCCCTTCCCTTCCCCTTCCCCTTCCCCTTCCCCTTCCCTTCCCCTTCCCCTTCCCCTTCCCCTTCCCCTTCCCCTTCCCCTTCCCCTTCCCCTTCCCCTTCCCCTTCCCCTTCCCCTTCCCCTTCCCCTTCCTTGCAAGGATGCCATGCCTTCCCTTATTGTACTTATTTACTGTTTTTCAACTTTTCGTGCTGGTTTTCCTTCCATATGTCCATGGAATTTATTTATTTAAACCCACGCTTACTTGAGGAACAACAGAAACAGTCCCAGCAGTTTATAGCAGGAACTTCTACCAGGAGCTTATGCCGCTCTGCCCTGATATTTTAGCTTTGTTAGAGACCAGATATCTGTTGCTCATGCTCCTGTACCAAGTTAGCTCTGTTTACAAGCTGTTGCTTTTATTGATACCTCGTAATGAAAACATCTGGTCTCAGGACATCAAGATGCCCCTTTCCCTTTTGGCTTGGCAGTTTGGTCTCAGAACTATAAATCCCTCCTTTCCAAGCACCCCGTGAAATGATGACCTCTCTGGAGGACCTCTCCTCTCCTGGGCCACCCAGCAAACCATCAACAGAGTCCCCCAGCACCCTACTTACAGGACGGCTTTGAGGAGCACAGCCATGCTCAAGGGGCTTTTATCTGTGAAGGTTTCCTTGCCATGGCTGGAGTCTGGGTCCTGCTCCCCACGTCTCTTGCAATTGTCATCTCCTTTCCCAGCCCTGCTAGGATCCAGGCTGCATCCTAGACTAAACACGCTCCTGGCCAAGGAAGCAGCTGGGGTGTCCATCATCTGCCACTTGGCTCTCCAGAGCAGGCACGTTTGTGTGTGAAACCAGCTCTGGCTCGCCTTGCCTGCCCCTCTGCCCCTCCTACACACTCGTGTTCATTCTCTCCTCCAGAGCTTTCGGAAATGGAAAACAAAGATTGGGGCTGTCTTGGATCCAGGCATGGGAGCGAGGCAGGATGATGTCTATAAACATCCAGAAAATAATGGCATCATTTAACTTTCAGCAGAGGGCTTATTTATCTCTAAAGAGATTACACCAAGTGTTTCCATCCAGAGCAGAGCCGTGGAGTAGATGTAAAACCGTGGCAGGAAACTTTTTATACACGAAAGGGGATTGTAAATTTCTGGCGTAAAGTTATGAATTATATTCACTGTGGACAATAAGTCAGATGGTTCTGCTTTACATACTTTTGGAGGATTGATTTTTAAACAAAATGCTACAAGAAAGTAGTGGGGGGGAGCAGCATGCTCCTTCTCTGCAAGACCAAGGTGGCATCAGGGGGCATGGCAGGGGAGCCTGTACTGCTGGAGAGCTCAGCTTGCCTTCTGGGGAGCTGTACTGAGGGCTGCCCACACCCCTGCCCAAGCACAGCACCGTGGGATCAAGGACCAATGTGAGCAGCCTGGCTTCACTGTCAGAGCTACTGTGGGTTTGGAGGCTAATTCTGCACTGCATTAGGATTCAGAAAGCCTAAATCTGCTGAGCCAAGGCACCCTGATGTGTGCATGTGTGCCAGCCATGCAAGGGGTCAGCAGCTCCAAAATTTAGCAGATGACAGATTGACTAGGGCATGCTGGAAGAGCCCCAAACACTGGAACAGACCAAGAGAAGTGCATTGCAAGAATATCCTGCTCCTTTCTGTAATGTGGCTTCCACTGGCATGCAGCAGCAGCAAAATCCCTTTGCCTGGCATTAGGGTCAATGTACGTTTGTGAGAGATTCCTGAGCCCAAACCACCCAGTCCTTGTGTTTGGGGTGGCAAAGGAAAAACAAACAAATGCACGAACAAACAGAAACTGTGATGAAAGGGTTCTGTTGGGCAGCAAGAGCCACTCTGGGACTGAGGGCTCTGCAGGAGGCCTGTAGATGTGCTTCAGCTGAGACTCTCTGGAGTCAGAGGAGATGGATGCTGTGTGCTTCCCTCTGTGAGATGTGATGGAGATTACTCCACAGCAGCAGACAATAAGTCTGGAATCACAGCTTTATGCAGCTCTGTCCAGGCACCTCTAATATCCATTTACTGGGGAAAAAAAATAGGGATAGCTAAGCACTGTAATTGAGGTTCTCCTGTTGAGTGGAAATGGTACATCTGCAGAACCTCCCTGGGCACCCATCACTACTGCACCCGAGCACCTTAGCCATACCAGTGGCTTCCAGGGCCCCTTCTGTGCAGTCATGGCTTAGCAGCCCTGAATTATAGCATGGGAAATGAAGGGCTGGGAGTGAAAGTGAATCTTTTTAAAGCCTTTTGAAGCAACATTGAATCTTTATCTCATGTATTCTGCTCTTGCTGTAATACTGCTGTCTCTTCCCACATGTTTTTTTCTGCAAAAGTGAGCTTTACCCTCCTCCCCTCTGTTCTGGTTAAGCTCCGTAGAGATTAGGGACCACGATTCTTGCTTATGCAGGTGCAAGCCAGCGCAGTCAGAGGGAAGTGACTTGGGTCTTGGCACGGCTGCAGTTTGCTCTGTTGTGCAAGCGGGATCCCAGCACACAGCGAGCTTCCCACTCCTTATTCACAGTGGTTTGTCCTGGGCTGACCTGGATGTAGCAAGTGAGAAAAATGCTGGATGGAGCCTCGCTTAATGTTAGGTTCTCTTTTAACTACTAACTAAGCCGCCTCTGTACCAGCATGTCACTCTGAGAGGATGTAGACAAATATATCTGTGCTGAGGAGTGGCAGAGGCTGCCGTCCGCTTTTAGAACTGCTGAGACGCAGGTTTTCGTAAGCTGGCTAATTAGTATGGGCTCAAAACTAACGGCTGTGTTTAACTGACGAGGCAATATGCCCTTCACCCGTCCCTCGAGATGTCAGGAGAATTATTCCTTTTGAGAAGCGTACTCATTAACTCATTCCTATCTGCTTTGATCTTTTCAGTCCAGTGCTTTCCCCCCAAACCTCTCTTCTCCCTATGAAGGAGAGCATGAAATAAATTCATACTGATTTCCAGCCAGGTCTTCCTCCCTCACCCTGCTGGGTTTCATGGCTTGATCTTCTGTGCCAGCGATGGCAGATGGCATCCTGATCTAATATGAGGAACCTGAGGCAGGACCATGATCCCAAGGTGTTAGCGCCAGTGCAGCCATGAGAAGATGCTGTTAGAGAAACCGAATAGCTGCAGATGCCTCTGTCCTCCTCCAGGGCAGCAGGGAAGAGGCGATGATTCAGCAAATCACTATTTTCCTCCCAGGTTGTTCCCCAGGGCTCTGGATGCAGCTGAAAAATGATGACCTGGCCTTTAAATGAGAACGTGGATAGAGTTTTCTGGAGAGATCTCATTCAGGAAAGTAGCGTGCAACCCTAGGGCATATAAAACTATATGCCCAGATGCTTGTGATGTTTATTTTCTCCACAAGAACATGTTAGCACCTGACGAAAGCAGGTCAGAGTCTAAAGGTAAATGGCATTTGCTGAGAAAGAAAGAAAGAAAGAAAAACATAACAATAATTGCACACTGATATTTAGGGACAAATCTTACCCTCAGACTGAAGGGCTCTCAGCACTTCAGTCTGTGCACTGTTTGGTTCATCCAAGAGCTGAGAAGTTAATTGACAAAGTGGCAAACACTGCATTTCTCAGCCTTGGTATCAGAGGCAAGCCTGGCTTTGCACAGGAGTCAGGAGGGATTTCAGTGCTTAGGTTGCACTTGGGATACAAGAGACATCATTTTGCAAGTTAAATGTTTGTCAAACATCTCCAGGACCTTCACTCCTGCAAGGGTCTGTTTAGCACTTGACAAGATTCACTAGCTTTGCATTTCCAGACAGGGGTGGCTCTATTTTAGCTCCCAGATTTGGGGAGCAGCCTACTGGTAGCTGTATTCCAGGAGTGCTGAGCATTTCTCTGCATTACGTACAGCTACAGCAAGCTGCAGATCTCTGGGACTTCACAAGGTCAAGTAGCCAAGATTTAAATCATTGCAGCATGGAATTAGAGTCCTATTTTAGCCACCAACATTGAAAAAAATTTTACTCCAAGCCAGCAATTGCCTGCAGTATCATAACAAATTCAAAAAGAAAAGGAAAAAAAAAATAGGAGAGGCAGAAAAAGGGTAAGGGAATAAGAGAGGTTTGCCTGAGAATAATGTTATTACATACTGTGCACCAAAAGGAGATGACTTCAGGGATAAATGACCCTTGTGACTTACTTCCCCAAATCACAGGATGTCAATTTGTGTTTTGAAGGCACGTACTATGTATTGCAGGGGACCGATGTGAAAAAGTGCATGCTGTCCCCAGACTAAATAAGTGTTGCTTTGTTTTCAAGCTAGAAAACACAGAAAGAAAGTGGGAAAGGAAGGGAGGGACAGAGAAAGGATGTCACAGATGAAAGCATGTTCTCAAAGGTCACGCCAGAGTGTCCTTACCTCAGCAAATGCTCTGGCTTAACTTCATAACCGAATAATCCTGCTATCTGATACTGCCTGAGAAATAAACAGTGTTCTTTAAAGCTCTTGCCCATTTCGCAGCACTTCCCTGACACTGTAATAAAGTAGGTTGCAGCAAATATCCTGCATGCCATGCCTCTAAATGTACCAGTTAATTACTGAGCCTTTTAAACCTGCTAACAAGACAAGCCTTGTTCTTTCAACCTATTGCTTTTTGCCAAAAAAAAAAAAAAAAAAAAAAAAAGGAAAAAAGAAAAAGAAAAAAATAAAAAGAAAAAAAGTCTGTTGGGCAAATAAATCTTTCCAGAGAAAACAGATTTGTTTCCAAATCAGTCAACTGTGCTGAACTGGAAAGGAAGAAATGTTATTTTTTCCAGGATGAAAGCAAAACAAGATCTCTGCCTGTTTACCCTGTCTCACCCATTTCTAAAGAAGGTCAGTTTAATTCCTTCATTACTTTTTCCTGCTGTCTTATTTATCTTGAAATCTTCTAGCCTTTTTCAATTTCACTGGCAAAGCTCTGCCTGGTTGGTCCAACATAGGAGTGCACTGTGTTTTGCTCTTCACAGCCATGTAAAGATGCTGAATAGAGCTGGGTGAGCTGTAAGGATCCAGAGTTTCTCCTTTCTTCCTCATTTTCTCCACGCTCATGAAGAAACATAAATCTCAAGAGCTTATTGTCAATTTGGTTTCCTTTTGGCATCGTGTTCATTACAGATGCTCCTAAGCCCGTGACAACAATCACAAATTGATTTTGCCCCAGTCCTGTGTGTTATGCCACACCGAAATGCAATCTCTGTTCCTCTGAGCACCTTTTTATACTGCTGCCTGGGACAGAATTGGGAAGGAAGGAATAGCAGTAGAAATATGAGGCGATGTGGTGAGACAGAAGGAAAAAAAGTGTTTTTCTGTTTTCATAGTGGGTAGCTTTTAATTTTTAACTCAGAAGGAGGTTTGGGCAGCTCTGAGGGATGACTGCATGCCAGAGTGTCAAACTGCAGAACTAGATGCACTTTTTATTCATTTTTTTAGCAGTCGTAGACTGTAAGAGGGGGTCATTCGGTCAATTAGTTGGGTCTCCTAGATGACATCTTAACTAAAGGCAAAGGCACCCTCCCGAATTCTCGTGTAAGTATTCTCATTGTGCTGGGTTGGTTACACCAGTCTGACCTCTTTTTGCTTCACGTACACACCACTGACTTTAGAGCATCAGTCCCAGCAGAAGGGCCTGAAGGGAGGTATAAGTTACTTGCTGATATGCAGGTTTTAGGATAAAGGCCCAGACACGTGACGAGGCGCCCATGCCTTATCTCCAGCCTCTTCTGCAGCTGAATTACTCCATTAGTGCCTCAGGCGTTGAGTGTGCAGACACACGTACAGCAATTTAGCTGGAACAGGGAGCAGTGACATGGTGACTCAGGCACCATAACCTGAGCAGGTGCCTATGCCCTGACAGCAGCTGGGCAGCTCTAGAAGCAATCCGAGTTCATTCAGTGCATGCACACACCAAAGAAGAGCCACAATGACCAAAGGCTCCATGTGAAAGTCTCCAGTGGTATACTGAACCCATAGCAGGACTTGGTTCTCACTTTGGCATCTAGACTCAAGGTGATAGCCCTGTCGTACTATAAGATGTGCTACTTCCGTAACCAGAGAGTGATAGGATACAATAGATGGCAGTGCATACATGGTTCCGAAGCTTTGCCAGTGAAATGAACAGCATTGTCACATTTTTCAGGGCAGTTCCAGTCCAAGTGCCAGCATTAAGTGCAGCAGCCCTTGGAAAACAAACCAGCACTCCCCCATGTTCCCCTTTGGTTACTTCTCAGGTTTTATCCACACTGCTGAAGCTGCCAGCAGTTTTGTTTCACCGTGTCATCCTTTGTCTGCCCAGACACCAGAAGATTAATCAAGCCATTTGCTCTTTTCTGACTTTGGTGGCACACAAGGCCACCAGATCTTCTGACACCAGAAATGTTTTCTTTGTTTCAAGGGCTCTCCTTTCCTGAGGTGGTGCGGGCCTTTCCAAAGATGCCCAGTTGCTCCTGGTAAAGGCATCCCCTTATGGGATGAAGTCAGCTGCTTATTTTCAGGAGGATGCCAGCCCAGAGAAAAATCACTCTCACACTACCAAAGCCATTTGGAAAAAGCCACCTACCCCATCCTACCCACTTCTAGGATGTCTCAGATGTTCCTGCGTGGCAACTGATCTGTTCTGATGACCTTCATGAGAATGGATCCATGCTCCATTACCAGTGTTTAAAGTTCTCTAACTCCCTCAGATTTCTGGGGTTGTCATTTTGAGTCATTGTTAAAGCTAAAGAAAGTATTTTCAGAAAACAAATAGAGTGGCTGTGAAAAGCAGCACACTCCCATTGAAGTCAACAGGAGTTATTTGAGTGGGAGCAGATGGCACCTGCTTTTTCTTTATAACCAGTGTTTATTCATTCACTCTAGATGCTCCTAAAATCTTTACCCTGTCAGCCCTTCTCTGCATAGATCTTGTCTAGTCTGCAGGAGAGCAACATTTGCCAGCTGTGCTGCCAAGAAATTACACTACACAAATAATTACCCTTGAGCAGGATAGCTTTGGCAGCAGCTACCTGAGTGCTGGAGAACTGCAAGTAGTCAAAGGGCAAGACTTTGGGGAGTGCTGCCATAAAGTGTCTGGTGGAACGTATTAGGGAGACATTCAGCAAATGTGACTGAGACCTCTGATTCTCTGCCAGCTGTCAGGTTTGGAATTACAGCCATAACAATTAGCTATGATTACTTCCCGATGTTGTTAAGTACAGTGCAAAGATCGCCAGTCGGAGTAGTTTCTTTCTGTGATAGGCAAGAGTGGTGCCAACGAAGAGTATCAGATCACAGGGTTGAAGACTGGTGGTGGATTGACAGATGTGGATCGGGAGGATCAATATTTACTGTTTACACTTAGCAGGTTTCCCTCCAAACAGCTACTGTCAGAGTCTGTTAAAACTCAGCCATTATTACAATAAAGATAATGATAACCCCACGCAGTGCACACACAAAGAAAATAATCTATCTTGATACACGGCCACAGAGTTAAGATGTTAATAAATTGTTGGGCTTTACCTAGAACTCCTGGCCACCGTTAGGTCACAAGTTTAGTCTCCTGAGATCTCAGAGACAAAAGTGATGAGCAAATACCAGAGCTGGTGACCTTCTGTATGAACACCCTTAATACCAAGTAATCAAAAGAAATGTTTTCAGCTGAGTTCCTCTGGAGCTCACAGCTAAATTTGAGCAGAGTACCTCTCTGGGCAGCTGGAGATACCACTTTTTTTTTTTTTTTTATGGCATTCATGTGTAGTATCTGATAGCACACCTTAGACATTTCCTCCATGTGTGATAGGTACTGTGATTTGCAGGACTGAACAAATATATTCAAAGCTCACTATAGTTTAATTTTGGATTTCAAGCTTTCATTTTCAACAAATACAGGCTGAAGGCTATTTACACTGAAGGGGTTGAATAACCTCACCACAGCCATTTTTTTCCCCCCTTCATTTACATTTTCCCACATTCCTACCTCCTATCCTAAAGGCTTTCTGGAAGATTTTGGAGAGTGTAATGAAGATGGGGTTTGCGTGGAAAGATGGATCAGTTCAGCCAACCACAGTGTAAGACTTGCTTCTCCTTGTTGATCTCAAAACCTGGTGTAATGTCAAGGGGTTCAAACACCTGTAGAAGTCATGACTCCAGTCACGCTTAATTTGCCAAGTCTAAAGTTGAAGTGTTTGGGTCTAGTTTATAGCAGCCTGTAAAAATAGTAGATGCATTGAGAATTGTTTTTGTTAAGAGCCAGGCAAATTCAGTGCTTTCTTGAGTGCCTGTCTTCCAATCACTGTACCCTAATCAGTGTTTAGTTCCTGGCTTGGCTGCTGGACACCTCTTATCCAAGAGGTCTGATATGGAGCTGCTCAGTTATAACGGACCATGGACGGCAAAATCACTATTTACCTTCCCCCGTAGAACAAATGTGGTTCTTACAATCAGAC